TAGCCCACGGGGCCCGGCCGGGCTCAGCCCGAATGGACGACGTGGGCAGTCCCTCCTGTGGGCCCACCACCTGCAGAGGGGTCCGTGGTGGCATGGTGCAGAGAGGACTGGGCAGCAGTCAAAGGCGGAGACCTCGACGACCCAGTCCGCACACACAACAGCTGGCTCTCGGGACGTGGAACGTCACCTCACTGGGGGGGAAGGAGCCCGAGCTTGTGGGGGAGGTTGAGCGATACCGACTAGAGATAGTCGGCCTCACCTCCACACACAGCTTGGGCTCTGGAACCCAACTCCTTGAGAGGGGTTGGACGCTCCACTTTTCTGGTGTTTCCCGCGGGGAGAGGCGGCGAGCTGGGGTGGCCATTCTCATTGCCCCCCATCTCAGCCGCCACGTGTTGGAGTTCTCCCCGGTGAATGAGAGGGTCGCGTCCCTCCGCCTCCGGGTGGGGGACAAGTCTCTCACTGTTGTGACGGCCTACGGGCCTAACAGCAGTGCAGAGTACCCGGCCTTCTTGGAGTCCTTGGGAGGGGTACTGGACGGTGCACCGCCCGGGGACTCCGTTATTCTCCTGGGGGACTTCAACGCCCATGTGGGAAACGCCAGTGACACTTGGAGAGGGGTGATCGGGAAGAGCGGCCCCCCTGATCTGAACCCGAGCGGTGTTCAGTTGTTGGACTTCTGTGCCAGTCACAGTTTGTCCATCACGAACACCATGTTCGAGCACAAGGGTGTCCACCAGTGCACGTGGCACCAGGACACCCTAGGCCGGAGGTCGATGATCGACTTTGTTGTCGTATCATCTGACCTTCGACCGCGTGTCTCGGACACTCGGGTAAAGAGAGGGGCGGAGCTGTCAACCGATCATCACCTGGTCGTGAGTTGGATCCGCTGGCAAGGGAAGAAGCCGGTCAGACCTGGCAGACCCAAGCGTATAGTGAGGGTCTGCTGGGAACGTCTCGCTGAGCCCCCTGTCAGACGGACTTTCAACTCACACCTCCGGGAGAGTTTCTCCCAGGTCCCGGTGGAGGAGGGGGACATGGAGTCCGAGTGGACCATGTTCTCTGCCTCAATCGCCGATGCGGCGGCCCGTAGCTGTGGTCGCAAGGTCTCTGGTGCTGGTCCCGGCGGCAACCCCCGAACCCGGTGGTGGACACCGGCAGTAAGGGAAGCTGTCAGGCTGAAGAAGGAGTCCTATCGAGCCATGATGGTTCGGGGGACTCCTGAGGCAGCTGTCCAGTACCGGCAGGCCAAGCGTGCCGCGGCCCGGGCCGTTGCAGAGGCAAAAACCCGGGACTGGGAGGAGTTCGGAGAGTCCATGGAGCATGACTATCGGTCGGCCTCAAAGAAATTCTGGCAAACCGTCCGGCGCCTCAGGAGGGGGAAGCAGTTCTTTGCCAACACCATGTACGGTGCGGGTGGAGAGCTGCTGACCTCGACGGGGGATATTGTCGGGCGGTGGAAGGAATACTTTGAGGTTCTCCTCAATCCCCCCGTCACGTCCTCTGTCTCAGAGGCAGAGGCTGAGGATGCTGGGGCGGATACATCCATCTCCCTGGCTGAGGTCACCAAGGTGGTTGGTAGCCTCCATGGTGGCAAGGCTCCGGGTGTGGATGAGATCCGCCCTGATTATCTAAAGTCTCTGGATGTTGTAGGACTGTCTTGACTGACACGTCTCTGCAACATCGCGTGGCGATCGGGGGCGGTGCCAATGGAGTGGCAGACCGGGGTGGTGGTCCCTCTCTATAAGAAGGGGGACCGGAGGGTGTGTTCCAATTATCGTGGGATCACACTCCTCAGCCTCCCCGGTAAGGTCTACTCCAAGGTACTGGAGAGGAGGCTACGGCCGATGGTCGAATCTCGGATCCAGGAGGAGCAGTGTGGTTTTCGTCCCGGTCGCGGAACACTGGACCAGCTCTATACTCTCCATCGGATACTCGAGGGTTCATGGGAGTTCGCCCAACCTGTCCACATGTGCTTTGTGGATTTGGAGAAGGCGTTCGACTGTGTTCCCCGGGGTGTCCTTTGGGGGGCTCTCCGGGAGTACGGGGTCGGGGGTCCTCTGCTGAGGGCCATCCGGTCCCTGTATGACCGGAGCCAGAGCTGTGTTCGCATTGCCGGCAGTAAGTCAGACCTGTTCCCGGTGAATGTTGGCCTCCGACAGGGCTGCCCTTTGTCACCGGTTCTGTTCACTGTATTTATGGACAGAATATCTAGGCGCAGCCAGGGGTCGGAGGGGGTCCGGTTCGGGGACCACAGGATTTCATCTCTGCTGTTTGCGGACGATGTTGTCCTGTTGGCTCCAACGAACCAGGACCTGCAGCATTCACTGGGACGGTTTGCAGCCGAGTGTGAAGCGGCTGGGATGAGAATCAGCACCTCCAAATCTGAGGCCATGGTGCTCGACCGGAAAAAGGTGCCCTGCCCTCTTCAGGTGGGTGGAGAGGTCCTTCTTCAAGTGGAGGAGTTCAAGTATCTCGGGGTCTTGTTCACGAGTGAGGGAAGAATGGAGCGTGAGATTGACAGGCGGATCGGTGCAGCGTGCGCAGTGATGCGGTCGCTGTATCGGACCGTTGTGGTAAAGAGGGAGCTGAGCCGAAAGGCAAAGCTCTCGATTTACCGGTCAATCTTCGTTCCCTCCCTCACCTATGGTCATGAGCTTTGGGTAATGACCGAAAGAACGAGATCGCGGATACAAGCGGTCGAAATGAGCTTCCTCCGCAGAGTGGCTGGGCGCTCCCTTAGAGATAGGGTGAGGAGCTCAGTCACACGGGAGGAGCTCGGAGTAGAGCCGCTGCTTCTCCACGTCGAGAGGAACCAGTTGAGGTGGCTCGGGCATCTGTTCCGGATGCCTCCTGGACGCCTCCCTGGGGAGGTGTTCCGGGCACGTCCCACCGGGAGGAGGCCCCGCGGAAGACCTAGGACACGCTGGAGGGACTATGTCTCTCAGCTGGCCTGGGAACGCCTTGGGGTCCCCCCGGAGGAGCTGGAGGAAGTGTGTGTGGATAGGGAAGTCTGGGCGTCTCTGCTTAGACTGCTGCCCCCGCGACCCGGCAACGGATAAAGCGGAAGAAAATGGATGGATGGATGGATATTGCCACTGCTTATATATATATATATATATATACATTATATACTGTATATATATAATATATATATATTCACACTTTTTAGTAATATACAAAAGTAATGCAAAAGTAGTGTAATGCATTAAAATTCAGAGACAGTAATATTGTGAAACCCATTACTTTGAAGTAACAATAACAAGTAATACCTAATGTATTACGTTTCTGAAGTAACTTAGTGTGTGAGTAACTTCTCACACACTAAAGAATTTGTTTTGGTTTGTTTTTCTCTCAGTGATGACTCTGTGTCCATTAGAATCTGAATCTCAATGGGACCTTTTGGTCAAATAAAGATTGACGTAAAATTATAGACAGCTGTGTGCGCCTGTGCATGCAAACTTTATTTATTATTTAAATCCCTTACGTGATGTTTTAATGGTTTTAATTACTTATATATGGTGAATATATATATATATATATATATATAATATGTGAGTGAAGCACTTTATATTGATTGATTGATAGATTATTAGATTATTTCACTTTCCCTGGCTAGAAATCATCTCTGTGCGAAACTGAACAGACCAAAAGTTTGAACGTGTGAAATTTACAGAAAGTTGATCTTTATCCAGTACAAACAATACAACAGTACACAGGAGGTTTCCGCCTTCATCCCACCAGAGAGAACAGTGAAAGCCAATGCTATATTATTATGAGCCAGACTCACTTGAGATTAGTGCTGTAGAACATTTTGCACTTGTTACATGAGAAACAGCATTGTTGATAATGTTGTGTTAACCTGATCCCTCACAAAAGACAAAATACAAGAACAAACCTTGTGAAGAAAGGTAAGACAACTCGGAAGAAACAATTAAAATAGCTATGAAGAGTTATAATAATGATCAGCAACCTTTTAGATGCAAACAGATAAATAATGTGCACATGTAAGACTAAGATACGATCAGATAAGATAGACGTTATTGATCTCACACAGGAGAAATGTATAGGTCACATTTGGCATGAATAGAATCAATCAAGATTGGTGCAAAAGACAGAAGTGTGCAAGCATGCTAAAGGCATGTTTAGCATGGATCTATTATGTACAATAAAAAAGTGGCAATTAAAGAAACAGTGGCAATAGTATTGCATGTTTTCAATCCTAGTGCAAGTGACTTAAAGTGACTTATTGTACAGTCTGACAGCGGTGGGGATAAAGGCCCTGCGGTAGCGCTCCTTCTTGCACTGAGGGTGCCTCAGTCTTCCACTGAAGGAGCTCCTCAGCTCCTCTACAGTCCTGTGCAGAGGGAGGTGTTGTCCATGATGGAAGTGACTTTGACTAGCACCCTCCTGTCCCTCACCTCCTCCACAGAGTCCAGGGGGCAGCCCAGAGTGGAGCTGGCCCTTCTGACCAGCTTGTTGAGTCTACTCCAGTCCCGCTCTGTGCTGCCTGGGGCCCAGCACACGGCAGCGTAGTAAATGGCTGATGCTACCACAGAGTCATAAAAAGTCCTGAGCAGAGGCCCGCTCACTCCGAAGGACCTCAGCCTCCTCAGAAGGTGGAGGCAACTTTGGCCCTTCTTGTGCAGGGCGTTGGTGTTATGGGACCAGTCCAGTTTATTGTTGATGTGAACACCCAGGTACTTGAAGCTGTCCACCAGCTCAATGTCCTCCCCCTGGATGTTCAGCAGTGTGTGGGAAAGTGGTTTTCTCCTGAAGTCAATTATCATCTCCTTGGTCTTACCGGTGTTCAATGTAGATAGAAACCCTCCATACATTATCTTCATCTGTAGCTGGGCCTCAGCGTCTTAAAAGATTATGACAGACACTCATGAAATATGGCCTTTGATCAAAGTTGAAAATCATTGATCATTGACGTTAGAAAAGAAAAATATGAAATTTAGTCTGAAATGTGCAGCAAAAAAGCCAAAACCCTGAGCATGTCTTGTCAGAAGAAAGGTGCAGATACCGGACCACTCGGCGGAACCGCAGGCCATCGGTCTCATTATGGTGCATTGCAGGTGCATTATGAGGACGGTTTTCTACTTCAGAACTGGGCAGCGCGCAAGCAGGACAGAACTTTTTTGGATGGTAATTTTTCATCCTTTTAACCTTTTTCATCCGTTTTATCCTGTTTTATCCATATTCATCCGTATTTCCCCCAGACCCAAAACAGAGGGTCCAGCCTCCAGCAGTGGACTGAACCATAAAACCGTTATTTTTCCTGAAACACAAATGAATGAAAACTCAAGAGCCAGCAAGTTTCAAGCTGTTAAAACTATTTTCCTGTTCTGTCTGTGTCTGTTGCTTGTTTGAAATTAGCGTAAGACAACTCCAGACTTGACGCGGGATCTGAGCGCACCAAAAGTTCATGTTGAAGTTGATTAATTGCATAGAGCTTCACTTTCCCTATGAAAGTGTCCCGAATTTCGAGGCGCTACGACACACACATCACACACATATTTTTCCGTATGGAGCTTTCATAAATGAGGGTCAATGTTTCCAGGGGGTCTCTCAGCTGGTCTAGGCATTCCAGACCAGCTGAGAGACAGTCCCTCCAAAGTGCTCTGCGTCAAAGCCATTGGTAAATTGTAAATTGACCAGTAAATTGAGAGCTTTTCTATTCAAATGAATAGATTTTTTTATTAAGATTGTTTCTTGCTGATGCATTGATCCAATGTGTTTAACCAGAAATTTTTTGAAGGCAATTTCTAAGTTGTAAACATTTAAAAAAGTTCAAATGGCTGTTTTAAATCCACAAATGATTTCAGGATTCCATTAAGTTGTAGGAAGTTGCTGCCAACAGTCAATCGTATGAGTGATAATTGGGTTTTAAGAAAAGAGGGATGGGCATTGGCTTAAAAATTCGGCTGGATGGAACGATGTGAACATTTCAGCCTCCAGATTTACCCATAGCGGTCTACTTATTCCTTCACTTAAAATAGCTTTGAGATCAGGTAAAGGATTGTATTATTTATTTTATGTAGGCATTCCCAGGTCTCCATACTACTTTTTCACTTGCAGTCTCTTCAATTTCATCCTAGGATTCTTATTTGACCACATTTATTGAGAAAGCATTTGATCAAGATCATACATTTTTTAGACCGATCACCAATACAAATCTCCTAAAATTGTGATTGGCCGATACTAACCATTTAAAATGTGTGTGCAAACAAGCACGGAGCAGGGGCCTTCACATCAATCTGATTGTCACCGATCAAGTCATTTTTCCTGTGATTGGTAACTGTTCAATTGGTGAACTTCTAATATAAATAATTCTATGCATTATTATTGTTATCACTATAGGTATAGCGGCACTGCCTCTTTACCACAACAGTCCTATTCAGTGATCACTCTCACTGCTCACGCTACACGAACCCTAACCCCAAAGTATCTGAGGGTTAGCCTCAGATACTCAAACTCCTCCACTTGAGGAAGGATCTCTCTTCCACCTGGAGAAGGCAAGGCAATCTTTTTCCGGTTCGAGCACCATGGCCTGGCACTTGGAGGTGCAAACCGTCCCAGTACATGCTGAAAGTCTGAATTTCTTTGAAGCCAATAAGACAACACCATCTGCACATAGCAGAGATGAAAGAGGGGTTATGGCAGGTCTCAGGACCAACCTCGGAAATTATGGTCCAGGAGTGTGCAGAGCTAAAAACAGCAAAGATACTGTGCAGAACCCTCAAGCTCCCTCGAGCTGAGCTGAGAGAGGGATAACTGCCTGCTGAGGGTGAACTTAATAAAAATACATGTGTATATATATATATACTGTATCGCAGTAATATATATATATATATATATATATATATATATATATATATATATATATATATACTACTGCAACCACTGCTCCTGCACTAGTGGCATCAGAAAAGGTCATATCCAAAGGATGAAATAAAGATCACCTTTTCTCCCTCTAGCCCCCAGTTGTTTTTATGGATAGAAATTATGTTCATAAAAATAGTGAACAGAACCAGTGACATAGGGCAGTGGAGGGCAAACAGACAATTGCAACAATTGCACCTGCTACTTTAAATTGAATATTGCACCTGCTACTTTAAATTGAATCTAGATTTATAAACATGCTCCTTGATGTGTAAAATATTTTTTTATTTTATTAAAGGCCTTTGTTTTAATTTCACTCACCTTTACACATAAATCTGTCATTTCAGATTCTTACCTAATGTAAGTTGAGTGCAGTTCATTTGTTCCATTGTTTAGGTTGCGTTACATGTTCTGGGAGGGGCATTTAAAGGGTATAAATAAAGAGTCTTTGGTCTCAAACCTCAGAAGGAGAGGAATCAGCAATAAACAGCAATAATGTGAGTACTTTTGTGTGAGAACAGTAATTGGTTTGTGTTTTAATGTAATATCTATGTTTTAGGACTGGCCTTACAGGACTCCTTAGTTTGCTGTTGGTCCTGACAGCTGAAGTTCACATTGGGTATGAGGCTGCTTTTCTACCTTTAACAGACAAGATGTTTAAATGTCATATGACTTTCTATTTACCTTGTATTCACAGAATGTCAGATGACGCTTCCAATTGTGGGGACACAAAACAACATTATCCATATACGGTTGTTTGCAACAACGGAACTTACGAGGTGAGTCTGCAACGTCCGTGAGTCTTTATTTCTCTACTTCATTAACCGTTCCTGTTTGAGGGATCTAAGGCTCTCAATCACATTATATTACAATGCTCTGATTTTATTTTTTACAACTTGTGTCATAAAGAACTGTGCAGGCGTCTGTGTACCATCAAGTACCACCCTTTGGGAAACACTGATAGCACCATCTTTATAGTTTCATAGTTTAAATTCTCACATACTCTTCTGCAATTTACTGGCAGGTCCGCCACTATGAACCTACCAAATGGGTTTGCTCTTCCGTCAAGGCTTTCGATTGGCTACCCGGAATATTCCCAGCTTTTATGAACTTGTATCAATGGATGAAAGGTGAGTTCTGCTGCTACTGACTGAAACCTAACAAGTGGATATTTTCTAAATGAAAATAATACATGTATTTTTTTGTCAAACAGCTAATGACATCAACCTAAAAGACCCAAAACACGCAACAGACCTAATGCCTGGAAATCTTAAACTTCCTGCTGGCGATGTTCCCGCTACCTTTCCCCTTCCCAAAATGCAAGACTACACACTCTGCTTTAAGCTGCCACTCAAACATAAGAACCCTCTCAAGTCCAGGAAGGATGTAGGTGAAATGTTTTGCCCTTGGACATAAGAAAAGTTTCACACTTTCCACTGACGCCTGGTATTCAGAGGCCTCTCATCACAGCACTAACCACACCCTGACCTGCTTAGCTTCTGAGCTACTTGGCCACAATTACAGATTCTATATGTAAATACTTCTACAAAACACAATCAAATATTGCAATTCAGAATCTACAATTATATACTAATAATTGACAAATAAAGAATATTAGCGCTCAGTTTCAAAAGTAACACATGTTGCAGGTGGAGATTGTGGAGACTGGGGAGAGGTACATGTACGTCAGGTCCTATCATGGCCTGCTGACAGAGGCAAAGGAGGAGGAGGAAGCACAAAAGCTGTTCGATGATATCAATATCTTAATGTGGGAAAAGAATCACACCACGGCTGCATTCGGAGGGTGAGAGAGAATGAATGCATGATTTGAAATGGTTTTGTACTAATGTGTGTATTTCTCATGCAGTCCTCACTCAGACACATGTATGGAAGTGTGGGTTGATGCTGATGCTCAGGCACACTGCTGAAGCAAGAGAGCAAAAATCTACCTCTGCTAATCATTACATACACAGAGGTATTTTGTCATGAAGATATGTTCTGAATAACCTGTAGCTGTGATTAAAGCATACTATATCACAAATGACTGTGTGCTCATTGTTTAAAACTACAGACACAAGTTTTTTTTAACTTTTATTTTATAATAAAATAGTGTGTGTGTGTGTGGCATAGAACAATGCCACAAAATGTTGTCAAATGTAAAGGTACAAATAATTTTTTACAGTTGCTACAAATGAAAAAAAATATATACATGTTAACAAAACAAAAATGTGACCTTTTTAAGAATATTCACCTCCACCATAATTTTGAATTGTTGTTACAGGCTTAGAATTTGACCTATAATATTTGAAATAAAATGGTTAATAAGGTGCAACAAATAACTAACTAACTAATAACTAACTAATCGTTGCTTCCACCATGTCCTGACAAGTTTGATGAAGGAACCACGGAGGACCACAGTTATGAAAAATAACTATCTAAAACAGAATCTTTTAGAAAAAGAAAAAGAATTCTATAAAGAAGCATACTCAAAACCAGCATCAAAACGGCAAAACTTGTTTAAGCTAACGGCTTTTCATATAAAGATCTCATCCACGAGTGCATGAGAGTGATGACACATAAGTCTCAACTACAGAGATAAGCGTCACTACGTCGGTTAATATTTACAGTGAGACCCGCCAGAGACGTCATATAACAGGAGGATCTGGATGTATGGAATAAATACAAAGCATGGATGTATATTATTATTAATTGCAGCAAACACGTTAGCAGCAGTGACACTTGGAGAGGGGTGATCGGGAAGAACGGCCCCCCTGATCTGAACCCGAGCGGTGTTCAGTTGTTGGACTTCTGTGCCAGTCACAGTTTGTCCATCACGAACACCATGTTCGAGCACAAGGGTGTCCACCAGTGCACGTGGCACCAGGACACCCTAGGCCGGAGGTCGATGATCGACTTTGTTGTCGTATCATCTGACCTTCGGCCGCGTGTCTCGGACACTCGGGTAAAGAGAGGGGCGGAGCTGTCAACCGATCACCACCTGGTCGTGAGTTGGATCCGCTGGCAGGGGAAGAAGCCGGTCAGACCTGGCAGACCCAAGCGCATAGTGAGGGTCTGCTGGGAATGTCTCGCTGAGCCCCCTGTCAGACGGACTTTCAACTCACACCTCCGGGAGAGTTTCTCCTAGGTCCCGGCGGAGGAGGGGGACATGGAGTCCGAGTGGACCATGTTCTCTGCCTCAATCGCCGATGCGGCGGCTCGTAGCTGTGGTCGCAAGGTCTCTGGTGCTGGTCCCGGCGGCAACCCCCGAACCCGGTGGTGGACACCGGCAGTAAGGGATGCTGTCAGGCTGAAGAAGGAGTCCTATCGAGCCATGATGGTTCGGGGGACTCCTGAGGCAGCTGTCCAGTACCGGCAGGCCAAGCGTGCCGCGGCCCGGGCTGTTGCAGAGGCAAAAACCCGGGACTGGGAGGAGTTTGGAGAGTCCATGGAGCATGACTATCGGTCGGCCTCGAAGAGATTCTGGCAAACCATCCGGCGCCTCAGGCGGGGGAAGCAGTTCTTTGCCAACACCATGTACGGTGCGGGTGGAGAGCTGCTGACCTCGACTGGGGATATTGTCGGGCGGTGGAAGGAATACTTTGAGGTTCTCCTCAATCCCCCCGTCACGTCCTCTGTTACAGAGGCTGAGGATGTTGGGGCGGATACATCCATCTCCCTGGCTGAGGTCACCAAGGTGGTTGGTAGCCTCCATGGTGGCAAGGCTCCGGGTGTGGATGAGATCCGCCCTGATTATCTAAAGTCTCTGGATGTTGTAGGACTGTCTTGGCTGACACGTCTCTGCAACATCGCGTGGCGATCGGGGGCAGTGCCAATGGAATGGCAGACCGGGGTGGTGGTCCCTCTCTACAAGAAGGGGGACCGGAGGGTGTGTTCCAATTATCGTGGGATCACACTCCTCAGCCTCCCCGGTAAGGTCTACTCCAAGGTACTGAAGAGGAGGTTACGGCCGATGGTCGAATCTCGGATCCAGGAGGAGCAGTGTGGTTTTCGTCCCGGTTGCGGAACACTGGACCAGCTCTATACTCTCCATCGGATACTCGAGGGTTCATGGGAGTTCGCCCAACCTGTCCACATGTGCTTTGTGGATTTGGAGAAGGCGTTCGACCGTGTTCCCCGGGGTGTCCTTTGGGGGGTTCTCCGGGAGTACGGGGTCGGAGGTCCTCTGCTGAGGGCCATCCGATCCCTGTATGACCGGAGCCAGAGCTGTGTTCGCATTGCCGGCAGTAAGTCAGACCTGTTCCCGGTGAATGTTGGCCTCCGACAGGGCTGCCCTTTGTCACCGGTTCTGTTCACTGTATTTATGGACAGAATATCTAGGCGCAGCCAGGGGTCGGAGGGGGTCCGGTTCGGAGACCACAGGATTTCATCTCTGCTGTTTGCGGACGATGTTGTCCTGTTGGCTCCAACGAACCAGGACCTGCAGCATGCACTGGAGCGGTTTGCAGCCGAGTGTGAAGCGGCTGGGATGAGAATCAGCACCTCCAAATCCGAGGCCATGGTGCTCGACCGGAAAAAGGTGCCTTGCCCTCTCCAGGTGGGTGGAGAGGTCCTTCCTCAAATGGAGGAGTTCAAGTATCTCGGGGTCTTGTTCACGAGTGAGGGAAGGATGGAGCGTGAGATTGACAGGCGGATCGGTGCAGCGTGCGCAGTGATGCGGTCGCTGTATCGGACCGTTGTGGTAAAGAAGGAGCTGAGCCGAAAGGCGAAGCTCTCGATTTACCGGTCAATCTTCGTTCCCTCCCTCACCTATGGTCATGAGCTTTGGGTAATGACCGAAAGAACGAGATCGCGGATACAAGCAGTCGGAATGAGCTTCCTCCGCAGAGTGGCTGGGCGCTCCCTAGAGAGCTCAGTCACACGGGAGGAGCTCGGAGTAGAGCCGCTGCTTCTCCACGTCGAGAGGAACCAGTTGAGGTGGCTCGGGCATCTGTTCCGGATGCCTTCTGGACGCCTCCCTGGGGAGGTGTTCCGGGCACGTCCCACCGGGAGGAGGCCCCGCGGAAGACCTAGGACACGCTGGAGGGACTATGTCTCTCAGCTGGCCTGGGAACGCCTTGGGGTCCCCCCGGACGAGCTGGAGGAAGTGTGTGTGGATAGGGAAGTCTGGGCGTCTCTGCTTAGAGACCCGGCAACGGATAAAGCGGAAGAAAATGGATGGATGGATGGATGGACTTTATATAAATAACTTTTATATAAATAACTTTATATAAATAACTTTGTATAAATAACTTTTATATAAATAACTTTATATAAATAACTTTATATAAATAACTTTATATAAATAACTTTATATAAAGTGAATGAGAAACTCACACTTCCTCAGACCTGGAACCATCCACTGTTCTCCAGCAGGATCCAACCTGCAACACACAAGGCACTTTAGACCAGGACCAGGACCAGGACCAGGACCAGGACCAGGACCAGGACCAGGACCAGGACCAGGACCAGGACCAGGACCAGGACCAGGACCAGGACCAGAGACCAGGACCAGGACCAGGACCAGGACCAGGACCAGGACCAGGACCAGGACATGGACCAGAGACCAAGACCAGGACCAGAGACCAGGACCAGGACCAGAGACCAGAGACCAGAGACCAAGACCAGAACCAGGACATGGATGAGGACCAGAGACCAAGGCCAGGACCAGGTCCACGACATGGACCAGGACCAGAGACCAGGACATGGACCAGAGACCAGAGACCAGAGACCAGGACCACGACATGGACCAGGACATGGACGAGGACCAGAGACCAAGACCAGGACCAGGACCAGGACCAGGACATGGACCAGGACATGGACATGGACAAGGACCAGAGACCAGGACATGGATCAGAGACCAAGGCCAGGACCAGGACCAGGACAAGAGACCACGACCTGGACCAGGGACCAAGACCAAGGACCAAGACCAGGGACCAAGACCAAGACCAGAGACCAGGACCAGGACCAGGACCAGGACATGGACCAAGACCAGGACCAGGACCAGGATCAGGACCAGGACCAGGACCTGGACCAGGACATGGACCAGAGACCAAGACCAGGACCTGGACTTGGACCAGGACATGAACCAGAGACCAAGACCAGGACCAGGACATGGACATGGACAAGGACCACGACCTGGACCAGGACATGGACCAGAGACGAAGACCAGGACCAGGACCAGGACCTGGACCAGGACATGGACCAGGACATGGACCAGGACCTGGACTTGGACCAGGACATGGACCAGAGACCAAGACCAAGACCAGAACCAGGACATGGATGAGGACCAGAGACCAAGGCCAGGACCAGGTCCACGACATGGACCAGGACCAGAGACCAGGACATGGACCAATGACCAGAGACCAGAGACCAAAACCAGGACCACGACATGGACCAGGACATGGACGAGGACCAGAGACCAAGACCAGGACCAGGACCAGGACATGGACCAGGACATGGACAAGGACCAGAGACCAGGACATGGACCAGAGTCCAGGACATGGACCAGAGACCAAGACCAGGACCAGAACCAGGACATGGACCAGGACCAGAGAACAAGACCAGGACCAAAGACAAAGACCTGGACCTGGACCTGGACCTGGACCTGGACCTGGACCAGGACATGGACATGGACCAGGACATGGACCAGGACCAAAGACCAAGACCTGGACCAGGACATGGACCAGGACATGGACCAGGACCAGAGACCAGGACATGGACCAGAGACCAAGACCAGGACCAGAGACCAGGACCAGGACCTGGACCAGGACTAGGACCAGAGACCAGAGACCAGGACCACAACCTGGACCAGGACCACGACCTGGACCAGGGCATGGACCAGGACCAGAGACCAGGACATGGACCAGGACAAGAGACCAGGACTAGGACTAGGACTAGGACAAGGACCAGAGACCAGAGACCAGAGACCAGGACCCGGACCAGGACCAGGACCAGAGACCAGGACCAGGACCAGGACTAGGACCTGATGCATATTGTTGTATTTAGACCACGCTGATAGTTAGGCCTTGGCCTCTTGTGCCAAGGGAGTTAAAACACATGTGACGTCCCAGACAGGAAGGTGACGTCCCAGACAGGAAGGTGACGTCCCAGACAGGAAGGTGACGTCCCAGACAGGAAGGTGACGTCCCAGACAGGAAGGTGACGTCCCAGACAGGAAGGTGACGTCCCAGACAGGAAGGTGACGTCCCAGACAGGAAGGTGACGTCCCAGACAGGAAGGTGACGTCCCAGACAGGAAGGTGACGTCCCAGACAGGAAGGTGACGTCCCAGACAGGAAGGTGACGTCCCAGACAGGAAACCAGACAAAGGAGACCAGGAACTGACTGATACACACGCCCCTTCTGTACATTATACTTATATGATTCTGACTGATACACACGCCCCTTCTGTATATTATACTTATATGATTCTGACTGATACACACGCCCCTTCTGTACATTATACTTATATGATTCTGACTGATACACACGCCCCTTCTGTACATTATACTTATATGATTCTGACTGATACACACGCCCCTTCTGTACATTATACTTATATGATTCTGACTGATACACACGCCCCTTCTGTACATTATACTTATATGATTCTGACTGATACACACGCCCCTTCTGTACATTATACTTATATGATTCTGACTGATACACACGCCCCTTCTGTACATTATACTTATATGATTCTGACTGATACACACGCCCCTTCTGTACATTATACTTATATGATTTTTCCTGATGTTTAAGTCAGTCTGAGCAGGGAGAGATAGACAGAGAGCATCGCAGAGCGCCTGGATGTTCTCTGCACATTTTCGGGCCTGGAGGGACAGTTAGAATGGCTCGGCACAGGGACAGTTAGAACGGCTCAGCACAGGGACAGTTAGAACGGCTCAGCACAGGGACAGTTAGAATGGCTCGGCACAGGGACAGTTAGAACGGCTCAGCACAGGGACAGTTAGAACGGCTCAGCACAGGGACAGTTAGAATGGCTCGGCACAGGGACAGTTAGAACGGCTCAGCACAGGGACAGTTAGAATGGCTCAGCAACAGGGTTAGTTTTAGGGAATTAATAGCTCCAAGAGTTTTGTATCAATATTTAATTGTAAAGAGAAATAAATGTTCTATTTTTAACTCTTGCATTCTTGGCCTTATTTCTGTATCAAACTCTGAACACGTCAGTCAAATCTTTTGTGACAACAGACCAGAGACCAGAGAACAGGACCCGGACCAGGACCCGGACCAGGACCAGGACATGGACCAGGACATGGACCAGGACCAAGACCAAGACCAAGACCAAGACCAGGACCAGGACCAGAGACCAGAGACCAGGACCAGAGACCAGGACCAGGACCACAACCTGGACCAGAGACCAGGACCATGACCAAGACCAGGACCAAGACCAAGACCAAGACCAGGACCAGGACATGGACCAGGACTAGAGACCAAGACCAGGACCTGGACCAGGACCAGAGACCAGGACTTGGACCAGAGACCAAGACCAAGACCAGGACTAGAGACCAGGACCAGAGACCAGAGTCCAGGACCAAGACCAGGACCAGAGATTAGGACCAGGACCAGAGACGAGGACCAGGACCAGGACCAGAGACCAGAGACCAGAGACCAGGACCAGAGACCAGGACCGGGACCAGGACCAAAGACCAGAGACCAGGACCAGAGACCAGGACCCGGACCAGTACATGGACCAGGACATGGACCAGGACATGGACCAGGACCAGGACCAGAGAGCAAGACCAGGACCAGGACCAGAGACCAGGACCAGGACCAGTACATGGACCAGGACATGGACCAGGACCAGGACCAGAGAGCAAGACCAGGACCAGGACCAGAGACCAGGACCAAGACCAGGACCAGGACCAAGACCAGGACCAAGACCAAGACCAAGACCAAGACCAGGACCAGGACCAGGACATGGACCAGGACCAGAGACCAAGACCAGGACCTGGACCTGGACCTGGACCAGGACATGGACCAGGACATGGACCAGGACCAGAGACCAGGACATGGACCAGAGACCAGGACATGGACCAGAGACCAGGACATGGACCAGAGAGCAAGACCAGGACCAGGACCAGAGACCAGGACCAGAACCAAGACCAGGACCAGGACCAAGACCAAGACCAAGACCAAGACCAGGACGAGGACATGGACCAGGACCAGAGACCAAGACCAGGACCTGGACCAGGACCTGGACCAGGACATGGAACAGGACATGGACCAGGACCAGAGACCAGGACATGGACCAGGACATGGACCAGGACAAGAGACCAGGACCAGGACCAGAGACCAGAGACCAGAGACCAGGACCAAGACCAGGACCAGAGATTAGGACCAGGACCAGAGACCAGGACCAGAGACCAGGACCAGGATCAGAGCCCAGAGACCAGGACCAGAGACCAGGACCAGGACCAGGAACAGAGACCAGGACCAGGAACAGGAACAGAGACCAGGACCAAAGACCAGAGACCAGAGACCAGAACCCGGACCAGGACCAGGACAAGGACCAGAGACCAGAGACCAGAAACAGGACCAGGACCAGAGACCAGGACTAGGACTAGGACCAGATACCAAGATCTGGACCAAGACCAAGACCAAGACCAGGACTAAGGCCTAGACCAGTATCAAGACCGGGACCAGAGACCAAGACCGAGACCGGGACCAGGGACCCAGACCAGGTCAGTTCAGAGTCAGACCTGAGTTCCTGCAGGGGGCAGTGTGGGTCGTCCTGTAGAGCCTTCAGCAGCTCTGATGAACCTCCTGGATGGTTGTAGCTCAGGTCCAACTCTCTCAGATGGGAGGGGGCGGGGCTTAGAGCTGAGGCCAGAGCAGCCCCGCCCCTCTCTGAGATCAGACATCCAGACAGCCTAAAGACACACAGCGTTACACTCATGTGGACACAGAGGACACAGATGCATCATGGGAGTCTCACCTGAGAGTGTGCAGTCCACAGGGGGCGCTCTTCAGTCCAGAACACAGCAGCTCCACTCCTGAGTCCTGGAGGTCGTTGTTACTCAGATCCAGGTGTGTGAGACTGGAGGAGCTGAGGACTGAGGCCAGAGGACCACAGCTGTGAGGGGACAGTCCACTGTCCCTCAACCTGAGGACAGAGACACATTAGAGACTAGACCCTCCACAGAAGACCTTCAACACAGTCTGGACTCACAGGGCTTTGGTGGAGGCTCTGACCACCGGCAGCAGACCCAGGAGAGCTGTCTCTGAAGCCTGGTATTTCCTCAGGTCAAAGTCCTGCAGGTCTGAGTCTGAGGACAATAAGACGAAGGACACAATCGACCAATGAGCAGGAGATCTTAACCAGTAGAGTTTTCCTTCTCTCATGTCCTTCTGTATCTGCTGCACCAGACTGAGGTCGTTCAGCTCCATCAGACAGTGCAGCAGGTTCATGCTTCTCTCTGCAGACAGACCCTTTTCATTCAGCTTCTTTTTGATGTACTTTACTGTCTCCTGATTGGTCCCTGAGCCACTTCCTGCCTGAGTCAGACCTGACAGCAGCCTCTGATTGGTCGGCAGAGACAGCCCCAGGAGGAAGCGCAGGAACAGGTCCAGGTGTCCGTTTGGACTCTGTAAGGCCTGGTCCACAGCACAGATGTAGAAGGTTCCCTCAGACTCAGAGGACTGTGGTGTCTTCAGCAGGTTCTCAGAGGACTGTGGTGTCTTCAGCAGGTTCTCAGAGGACTGTGGTGTCTTCAGCAGGTTCTCAGAGGACTGTGGTGTCTTCAGCAGGTTCTCAGAGGACTGTGGTGTCTTCAGCAGGTTCTCAGAGGACTGTGGTGTCTTCAGCAGGTTCTCAGAGGACTGTGGTGTCTTCAGCAGGTTCTGTCCAGAGCTGTAGAAGGTCTGATGGACGTGAAGAGCAGCCAGAAACTCCTGCACACTCAGATGGATGAAGCAGTAGACCTTGTCCTGGTACAGGCCTGGCTCCTCTCTAAAGACCTGTGTGAAGACTCCGGAGTACACTGAGGCGGCTGCAGCGTCCAGCCCACACTCGCTCAGGTCACAGTCGTAGAAGATCAGGTTTCCTCTCTGCAGCTGCTCAAAGGCCAGTTTTCCCAGAGACGTCACCATCTCCCTGGTCTGTGGAGTCCAGTGAAGCTCCGCCCCTGATCCCTGCTGATACTTGATGTTGTGGACTTTGGCCTGCACCACCAGGAAGTGTGTGTACATCTGTGTGAGGGTCCGGGGCAGCTCTGGTTCCTCTGTTTGTTCCAGAAGCTTCTGTAGAACTGTGGAGAGGATCCAGCAGAAGACTGGGATGTGGCACATGATGTGGAGGCTGCGGACGCTCTTGATGTGGGAGATGATCGCTGTGGCCTGTCGCTCGTCTCTGAACCTCTTCCTGAAGTACTGCTCCTTCTGCGGGTCGGTGAAGCCTCGGACCTCTGTCACCATGGAGACGCACTCTGCAGGGATCTGATTGGCCGCCGCTGGGCGTGTGGTGATCCAGAGGCGAGCGGAGGGAAGCAGGCTTCCTCTGATGAGGTTCACCAGCAGCAGGTCCAGAGAGACGGACTCTGTGGGGTCTGAGAGGACACGAGAGCTGCTGAAGTCCAGAGGAAGTCTGCACTCGTCCAGACCGTCAAAGATGAGGAGCACCTGGAGGTCTTCAAAGCTGCAGAGACCTTTGGATGGACTGAAGAAGTGCTGTATGAGTCCCACCAGGCTGAAGCTTCTGTGCTTCACAACATTGAGCTCTCTGAAGGAGAAGGGGAACAGCAGCTGGAGGTCCTGATGAGCTCTGCCTTCAGCCCAGTCCAGACTAAACTTCTGAGTCAGCACAGTCTTCCCCACGCCGGCCACGCCCTTCGTCAGCAGCGCTCTGATTGGCTGTGGTGAGTGTGGGCGGGGCTTAAACATGTCTTCACAGGTGATGGTGGTCTCTGGAGCGGCTGGTCTCCTGGACGCGCTCTCCATCAGTCTGACCTCATGTTCCTGGTTGACCTCTGAGGCCCCGCCCTCTGTGATGTAGAGCTCTGTGTAGATCTGGGTCAGGGGGGCGGAGTCTCCTGCTTTAGCCACGCCCTCAAACACACGGCTGAACTTCGGCTGCAGCTGCTTCTTCAGTTCATCTCTACAAACTCCAACAGTGCTTCCTGAATAAAGACAAACAGCTGTGACCATGTGACCACTGAACTGACCCCGCCTCCATTAGCGTTAGCCAAAGATGCTAACAAACAAGGCTAACAGCTAACAGCTAACATTTCACCAAGTGAATTATACTTGTCAAATATAGATACTTTGATTATAACATAACAAGTGAATTCTGTCCATTCTGATCTTTAAAATGAGGGAGAACATGTGGGCGGAGCTTAAGTTAACACCATGTGTTTGTGGCTGAGTCGGTAACTTCCATGATCCAAAAGAATGTTCTGATTTGGGTGAAATCTGGGCCCATTACTGATGTGTGGTGAGTGTTCAGAGCCTGAGAGCCAGAAATGTGTGTGTCTCTAGTAAACACATGTTGTGTTGCTACAGACACAGAGAGTTCTTACTGCTCTGCAGGCGCTGGACCAGCTCATCCTGCTTCATCCTCTTCAGGAAGTCCAGGGCGATCTTCAGAACCTCTCTGCTCTCCTCCTCACTCTCAGAGCATTCTGGGTAATCTGAGGCCAGGAGCCTTTGGATCCTCTGCAGCTGCTCTTTGACAAAAGTCACCACGTCCTCCTGCAGACGCTGGAACAGAACAATAAGAGTTCACAGAGAGACGCTGAGGAGCAGCCAGAGAAGGCCACACAAGCTGCGGTGGTGGACACTCACCCTCAAGATGGCGTCCAGCGGCTCCTTTGGACCTGGATCCCTGTGAAACGCACTCAGCATTTATTTAGTGTGCACAATAGAAGAACACAGACTCAAACAGGAGAGAAAAGGACTGTTTCTATAAAGAGCTTCTACACAGCACTAAACCTGGGACTCCCAGCTTCAGCACCAGAGACACCAGACATTTTGCCACAGATGAAGTTGTACGTTTGTGGTGACTCTGAAGTGTTGCCTTCTGGCTCTACAGGCCCTGGGCTTCTTCACCTCATCATCATCACTTTCTCCTGTTGCATTGTGGTCTTGGTGTCAACATGTGTTGATAAAAAAGTGCCCTAACAAATGTGAGTGAGCTTCAACAGATCTGTCAGAAAGCTCTTTGGCCACGTTCACACGGAGCTGATCTCAGATCTGCAAATATATTCTGTCTCATTCAGTCTTCCACATGAAGCCAATCCAGGCTCTGAAAGCGGCTCCAGAGAGAAGGCTTTGAAACCAGCGTCTGCAACTGTTCCATCTGATCCACAACAAAGACATTTATCTTTACTGCAGGGTCCTCCACTGCTCCAGCCTCAGGTCCTGAAGGAAACACATCCTCCACAGAGATGTTTGTCCCTGTGAAGAAGGACTCAGAAGCTTCTCTTTCCCTCAGTGTGAAGACCCGCTCCTGCTGTCTTCAGTAGATTCTACATTCATGCTTTAAGGCCAGTGATTGTTTGTAAAGACTGTCTCAGTGCTGTAGCGTGGCTTGTACACCAGAGGGCGCCAGAGACCAGTTGAGTCTGCACTGATGGTGACTGAACAAAATGTGCCACAGAAACCAAAGTCACGGTCTCAAAATCACTGGACTTAAAACTACACAAAGATTATCAAAATACACAATAAACACACAACAAAGTGTCACAAACACACAAACAACCTATACTCTCTCACACAACTGGGTTCACACAACTAAGACACACAACTAAGCCACACAACTAATGCCGTTTTTCCACGGTCCGAGTACGGTACGTTTTGACTCTACACGGAGCGCCATGGCCCAGTTTGCGTGCTTTTCCATCAAAAATAGTACCCCTAGTATGTCCTCAGCGTTGTCAGACCACGTCATTTATGTGTGACGCGTAACTAGTACTGGTGCGGTGCATGGATTTATTATAATATCAGAGTGTTTAATAGAAAATTCAGCAGCAATTCAGTAGTTTTTGAAAATGCTTATGTCTTAAAAGAATGACTCAGACACTGTGAAGTCAATGGTGCTGACTGCTCTGTACAATCTGAATGGACCTGTATCAACAGCAGCCTGTGTAGCAGAGGAGGAGGGCTGCATGTCCGAGGATACTAGGCTATAGCTAATGCTAGGGCTAGCTCGAGACTCTGCTCACTCACTAACCCTGGATTCCAAAGCTACTACAATACTACACTTAACACATCTATCACTACCATCGGTACGCCGTACCGTACTGAAATGAACTGAACCGACACTGTGGAAAAACGGCATAGACACACAACTAAGCCACAAAACTAAGACACACAACTAAGACACACAACTAAGCCACAAAACTAAGACACACAACTAAGACACACAACTAAGCCACACAACTGAGACACACAACTGAGCCACACAACTAAGACACACAACTAAGACACACAACTAAGACACACAACTTAGACACACAACTAAGACACACAACTAAGACACACACCTAAGCCACACAACTAAGACACACAACTAAGACACACAACTAAGACACACAACTAAGACACACAACTAAGCCACACAACTAAGACACACAACTTAGACACAGAACTACAATGTACATTGTAATATCCATAAATGCTAATCAAAATAACTTGAATTAAATAAATATTTTACTTTTATGAACAAAAAGTATGAAGGTTATTTTGTGTTTTTATTATCAACACTTTTTTTTGCTTTTGAATTCTATAAACTGTAACAAAAAAGTATTCAGTGTAAATAAATTCAATGTTTTAAAATTCAGCGTCAAAATATTCAATGTTTTAAAATTCAGTGTCAAAATATTCAATGTTGTAAAATTCAGTGTCAAAATATTCAATGTTTTAAAATTCAGTGTCAAAATATTCAATGTTTTAAAATTCAGTGTCAAAATATTCAATGTTTTAAAATTCAGTGTCAAAATATTCAATGTTTTAAAATTCAGTGTCAAAATATTCAATGTTTTAAAATTCAGTGTCAAAATATTCAATGTTTTAAAATTCAGTGTCAAAATATTCAATGTTTTAAAATTCAGTGTCAAAATATTTAATGTTTTAAAATTCAGTGTCAAAATATTCAATGTTGTAAAATTCAGTGTCAAAATATTCGTTGCATTTTTTTTCGCTGCTTGAAATGTCATGCTTTATTTCCGAGTAAATCAAGACCAAAGCAATCGATCAGCCAATCCTCCACAGATGTAGCCAGGGCCAGAACATGACTGACTTGTTCATCTGAACATGGTGTCCACAGCAAACCAGTAAGTGTGTTTTCTCATCATTAGTTTGTATGTAACAAACCACTGCTGTTTGTACTTTCTGAACATGTTTTTACCTTAGCTTATCATTAGCTAGCTCCGCGTAGGTGGCTTCTATGTTTTGGCGATTCCCCAAAGCGGATCTTTGCTAATGCTAAGCTAAAATGAACCGCAGGAAAGCAGGTCTACGGTTCTTGTGTGACATATGTACTATGTTCCCAATTTCAATGTGTATATTATTCTAGCAGTGCAGCAAGGACGAAACCTGCTGTTTTAGAGACAGAGCTGAGGGGTTGTTGTTCATTATGTTGTTCATTTTTGTGTATCTAGACCAACAATAATTATTCTATCTTTACTCTTAAATTTTGACATCTTAGTGAAACAAAGACGGAATGAAGGATCGGTTCTTTAGGGAGAAAACAAACCCATGGATTCAATATTAATGCTACAGAGAGGACTCAGACTGATAGATATGGGTTTAATAGAGTATATTTGTAAATCCCACTCTACCTCCTGTTAAAGACTGGACATTGATGTGAATAACATGCACATGCTGACACACAGACAAGAGTGAATAAAGTATAACCACCATAACAATTTATATTACCAGTAATCACATGTACTAACAATTATATTGATCAGTAAATGTTCTTATAAGTATCTCCATAAAATGTTCTTATATTATCAGTAAGTGTCTGCATAATAGGCCTTTGTTTAAATGTGTTAGTGGGGTCAGTGAGAATTCAAGGACAGGCTGGTCTCTGTGCAAAAGTAACCATTTCAGGAACGATGTGTCTGCTTCGCATGAGACAAAAATCCTGATGAGGCGAGTTTCGGGAACTGAGGTGATAAGGAGCCAATGACGTCTTCGAGGGACGAGTCCTGATCTTCAGCACATTTATAAAACTGTATTATGTAGAAATTGTGAACCAGTCTGGACAAGGGACCTGCAGTATAAAGTCAGAGCGCCTGACTTTATACTCATATATAGATTGGAGAGGGAAAGCTAATTTTAAGTCCAGACCGCTGTTTAGACTCTTTGTATCAGGGAATCCACTTTTTGGATTTAACTTTTCGAATACTGGTCATCTTTATATGGGATTTTGAACACGTCTTTTTTTACAATAGTCCCCAGACCCACAGACCCAGTTTCTCTATCTGAGCTCATCTTGCGTCTTCTTTCTGCATCAAATCACGTCGGGTTCACCATTTGTTGTCAAAAAAGATTTGACTGACGTGTTCAAAGTTTGATGCAGAAAACAAGACGAAGATTTCCAAGTTTAACATCTGTATTTAATTTATCTTTACAATCAGATACAGAAATTCAACAAGCTCCTATCCTAACTATTCCTGATGTCTCCCTATGGGCTCATCCTGTCTGACTGAACTCGAACATTAGGCAAAGTCATAAGTAGAGAACGTCCGATGACGTCATCTCTGTACGTCTCCCGAATGTTCATTTCGGGTGTGCTGGCGTCCCTTGTCCACTGGGAGGCAACACACACACCACACTAGGACACACTGCTTCTACACACACACACCACACTAGGACACACTGCTTCTACACACACACACCACACTAGGACACACTGCTTCTACACACACACACACCACACTAGGACACACTGCTTCTACACACACACACCACACTAGAAGGACACACTGCTTCTACACACACACACCACACTAGAAGGACACACTGCTTCTACACACACACACCACACTAGGACACACTGCTTCTACACACACACACCACACTAGAAGGACACACTGCTTCTACACACACACACCACACTAGAAGGACACACTTCAACATTACACAACACTATGAGCCTCGGGCTGAGAACTGAAAACGGGAAAAGCAACTTCAGAAGTATTTATTGTTTTGTTTCCTGTATCATGATGAAGTGAATTATTATGGAGCACGTTTGCTGCGTTGGTTTCAATGTCTGACTCTAGACCTGAGGACCAGTCCCAGTCTGACTCTAGACCTGAGGACCAGTCCCAGTCTGACTCTAGACCTGAGGACCAGTCCCAGTCTGACTCTAGACCTGAGGACCAGTCCCAGTCTGACTCTAGACCTGAGGACCAGTCCCAGTCTGACTCTAGACCTGAGGACCAGTCCCAGTCTGACTCTAGACCTGAGGACCAGTCCCAGTCTGACTCTAGACCTGAGGACCAGTCCCAGTCTGACTCTAGACCTGAGGACCAGTCCCAGTCTGACTCTAGACCTGAGGACCAGTCCCAGTCTGACTCTAGACCTGAGGACCAGTCCCAGTTTGACTCTAGACCTGAGGACCAGTCCCAGTCTGACTCTAGACCTGAGGACCAGTCCCAGTCTGACTCTAGACCTGAGGACCAGCCCCAGTCTGACTCTAGACCTGAGGACCAGTCCCAGTCTGACTCTAGACCTGAAGACCAGTCCCAGTCTGACCCTAGACCTGAGGACCAGTCCCAGTCTGACTCTAGACCTGAGGACCAGTCCCAGTCTGACTCTCCCTCAGTGTGAAGACCCGCTCCTGGTGTCTTCAGTAGATTCTACATTCATGCTGTTTATTTACAAAGTGCCACAGAACCACAGTCTTTGATGAAGGACGAGACACAGCACTGTCTTAACAACATGGGTTCAAGTCTCACCTCTGATCTTCAGGACCATCTTCTCTGAAGTTTGGAACACGTCCTTTGGACCGGTCACTTTTCAGAGACTGAGAGCTGGGAGCAGGTCCAGGTCTGGGTCCAGGTCTGGGTCCAGGTCTGGGTTTAGACCCGGGGCCAGATCCTCGTGGGTCCATGTTGTAGAGGCTGGAATCAGAACCAGAGTCACTTTGTTTCATGATATTGCTCTGTCCTGGACACAGTGCAGCAGGAGGAGACAGGAGGGTCCTGGTCTCACTCACATCTGGTCTCTCTCTGGTCTCAGTCTCTCTCTGGTCTTTGGTCTCTCTCTTGTCACTCACTGGTCTCTGACTCTGATCTCTCTGGTCTCTCTCTGGTCTCTCTCTGGTCTCTCTCTGGTCTCTCTCTGTCTCTGGTCCCTCTCTGGTCTCTCTCTGGTCTCTCTCTGGTCTCTCTCTCTCTGGTCCCTCTCTGGTCTCTCTCTGGTCTCTCTCTGGTCTCTCTCTCTGGTCTCTCTCTGGTCCCTCTCTGGTCACTCTCTGGTCTCTCTCTGGTCCCTCTCTGGTCTCTCTCTGGTCTCTCTCTGGTCTCTCTCTCTGGTCTCTCTCTGGTCCCTCTCTGGTCACTCTCTGGTCTCTCTCTGGTCCCTTTCTGGTCTCTCTCTGTTCCCTCTCTGGTCTCTCTCTGGTCTGTCTCTGGTCCGTCTCTGGTCTCTCTCTCTGGTCCCTCTCTGGTCCCACACTAGGACACACTGTTTCTACACACACACACCACACTAGGACTGTTGTATATTTTAAATATACACTATACAGATGTGACAATATTGACCATTTGAACATCATAGCCAACAAAGACCTGGGCACTCAGGAAAAAACCCCAAGGACACAAGATAGTAGTGGAATTCAGAGAAGGACCACGGACCAGGCCTGACTCACTAAAACACATGTGTGGCAATTTTGACCTATGGAACCCCCGCAGCCCCCCCGCAGCAGCTGTGTTTGTCTAAGTCCCACACAGGCGCCGCACGGGTGGGGGCCATTGTTTGCTTAGGCTGATATGGAGGACCAAGACCGGGACCAGGGTCCAGACCGGAATGTGACGTCATCGGACATGTTGATAAAACTGGGGGTAGGACATTTTGAGCAGTCTGAGCAGGGATAGAGACAGAGAACATGGCAGAGCGCCTGCATGTTCTCTGCACATTTTCAGGCCTGGAGGGAAAGCTTAGGATGGCTCAGCATAGGGTTAGTTTTAGAGAATTAATGGCTCCAAGAGTTTTGTATCGATATTTAACTCATTGTATCCCATTGACGCACAAATACGTCAAAGCAAATAGTAACGTCGTGTGCCATTGACGCATTAATACGTCAAATGCCTTTTTTGCTATTTTCATGTTCCCAGATGTCTATTGTATCTAATATGTATGGGGATGACTTGAGACCATATTTTATCGAGCCAGCAGGTGGCAGCATTTCTCTCTGAATGGCTTGAAAACATGTAGGTGCACATGTTGTGCCTCTTTTTTCTCAACTTTCTGGTGATTTCTGGTGATTTCAGTAAAACTTCCCTCTACTCGACGGAGGATTACAGGGGAACGAAAAAAGCTATAAACAAAATTATTTTTGCTGAGGAAAGTAGACAGTCCATTCTTTTAGAATCTGGTGTCGGATTTCATATTGTCATAGTACACAATATTCTGTGGGTCTTGAAATATCAGTAAAAATCATCTGAAATGGCTGGCACTGTGGGAGTACCTGTTCTGAAATGGCTGGCACTGTGGGAGTACCTGTTCTGAAATAGGCTGGCTTGTAAAGAGAATTAAATGTTCTATTTTAACTCTTGCATCTTTGTCTTACTTCTGCATCAACTTTGAACACATCCGTCAAAGGGTGATTTTGACATCAGGACACACTGCTTCTACACACACACACACACACACACACACACCACTAGGACACACTGCTTCTACACATACACACCACACTAGGACACACTGCTTCTACACACACACACCACACTAGAAGGACACACTGCTTCTACACACACACACCACACTAGGACACACTGCTTCTACACACACACACACACACCACACTAGGACACACTGCTTCTACACACACACACACCACACTAGGACACACTGCTTCTACACACACACACACCACACTAGGACACACTGCTTCTACACACACACACACCACACTAGGACACACTGCTTCTACACACACACACACCACACTAGGACACACTGCTTCTACACACACACACCACACTAGGACACACTGCTTCTACACACACACACCACACTAGAAGGACACACTGCTTCTACACACACACACACACCACACTAGGACACACTGCTTCTACACACACACACACCACACTAGGACACACTGCTTCTACACACACACACCACACTAGAAGGACACACTGCTTCTACACACACACACCACACTAGGACACACTGCTTCTACACACACACACACCACACTAGGACACACTGCTTCTACACACACACACCACACTAGGACACACTGCTTCTACACACACACACACCACACTAGGACACACTGCTTCTACACACACACACCACACTAGAAGGACACACTGCTTCTACACACACACACCACACTAGAAGGACACACTTCAACATTACACAACACTATGAGCCTCGGGCTGAGAACTGAAAACGGGAAAAGCAACTTCAGAAGTATTTATTGTTTTGTTTCCTGTATCATGATGAAGTGAATTATTATGGAGCACGTTTGCTGCGTTGGTTTCAATGTCTGACTCTAGACCTGAGGACCAGTCCCAGTCTGACTCTAGACCCGAGGACCAGTCCCAGTCTGACTCTAGACCTGAGGACCAGTCCCAGTCTGACTCTAGACCTGAGGACCAGTCCCAGTCTGACTCTAGACCTGAGGACCAGTCCCAGTCTGACTCTAGACCTGAGGACCAGTCCCAGTCTGACTCTAGACCTGAGGACCAGTCCCAGTCTGACTCTAGACCTGAGGACCAGTCCCAGTCTGACTCTAGACCTGAGGACCAGTCCCAGTCTGACTCTAGACCTGAGGACCAGTCCCAGTCTGACTCTAGACCTAAGGACCAGTCCCAGTCTGACTCTAGACCTGAGGACCAGTCCCAGTCTGACTCTAGACCTGAGGACCAGTCCCAGTCTGACTCTAGACCTGAGGACCAGTCCCAGTCTGACTCTAGACCTGAGGACCAGTCCCAGTCTGACTCTAGACCTGAGGACCAGCCCCAGTCTGACTCTAGACCTGAGGACCAGCCCCAGTCTGACTCTAGACATGAGGACCAGTCCCAGTCTGACCAGATGGTTCAACGTCACAGAGCAGCCACACAGACCATCAACACCAGCTGCACATGGTTCAACGTCACAGAGCAGCTCCACAGACCATCAACACCAGCTGCACATGGTTCAACGTCACAGAGCAGCTCCACAGACCATCAACACCAGCTGCACATGGTGTCACTGTGCCACAAACACTGCAGCTTGAGGCTGAAGTACATTTAGACAAATCCAGCTTCATTTAGGAATAAGGTTCTGTCGACTGTGACGGAAAATGACTATTCATTAAATCAAAAACATCAGAAACGCTAAAAATCCTTAAAGTGAACACAGTCTTTGTGTCCATCCAGACACTGACACTTCACTGATAAGAACCACGTTTGTTTGGAGGAGGCTCATAAATCAGATGATAACCTGCCCCTCGTAGCCACCCTTACTCTTCCTCCTTTCTCCTCTTCCTCAGTCTGGGAAAACTGCAGACTGAGGCTTTGTTCTACAGCCTGACCCCTGGATATACAGCCTCAGTCCTCGTTCTACAGTCTGAGTCCTGGATCTACAGCCTCAGTCCTCGTTCTACAGTCTGACTCCTGGATCTACAGCCTCAGTCCTCGTTCTACAGCCTGACTCCTGGATCTACAGCCTCAGTCCTCGTTCTACAGTCTGACTCCTGGATCTACAGCCTCAGTCCTCGTTCTACAGTCTGACTCCTGGATCTACAGCCTCAGTCCTCGTTCTACAGTCTGACTCCTGGATCTACAGCCTCAGTCCTCGTTCTACAGTCTGACTCCTGGATCTACAGCCTCAGTCCTCGTTCTACAGCCTGACTCCTGGATCTACAGCCTCAGTCCTCGTTCTACAGTCTGACTCCTGGATCTACAGCCTCAGTCCTCGTTCTACAGTCTGACTCCTGGATCTACAGCCTCAGTCCTCGTTCTACAGTCTGACTCCTGGATCTACAGCCTCAGTCCTCGTTCTACAGCCTGACTCCTGGATCTACAGCCTCAGTCCTCGTTCTACAGTCTGACTCCTGGATCTACAGCCTCAGTCCTCGTTCTACAGTCTGACTCCTGGATCTACAGCCTCAGTCCTCGTTCTACAGTCTGACCCCTGGATCTACAGCCTCAGTCCTCGTTCTACAGTCTGACTCCTGGATCTACAGCCTCAGTCCTCGTTCTACAGTCTGACTCCTGGATCCCTCTCTCATGGTTTCTCATCTGTTCCCAGTGGGTGTTAGAGTTGTTGCCGATGCAGGAGTCTGTGGAGCCCTGGTCTGGATCTAACTGAAAGGACAGAGGTGATGATCCAGGACATTCTACAACATTTATGGACCAATGGTTTTATCGTTTCTCGTGTTGAACTGTTTGATTCTCTGATCTGTGTCGGAGAATTCAAGAAACTATTGTTGTGATTTAGGTCGATACCAGAATAAATGGAATAGAATCTCAGTCCCCAGACCTGAAAATCATTCAAAGGTCCAAAACACCAGAATCCAGACTCTGTGAGTTTAGAGGCTGTTGTTTCTGCAAAAGGAGGATGAACTATCCATCCATCCATTTTCTTCCCCTTAATCCATTTCTGGGTCGGGGGGGGTGGCAGTCAGAGCTGCACCCAGGACACATAGCACCAGCCCCTCACTGATCCTCCTGCAGGTGGTGAGTCCACAGGAGCTGAGATCTTTCAGTGGGGGCTTTGGGCAAAGTAGGGTTAAGTGTCTTGCCCAAGGACACAACGACAGCAGTCATCAGTGGGAGTCGTGAAGTAGGTCTTACGGTGGGCTCGAACCCACAACCTTCAGGGCCAAAGGCCAATGCTCTACCAACTGAGCTACTGTCGCCCTCGAGGATGAACTAAATATTTATATTTATGCAGACGCCTGAACTGGTTTCAATAATTCTTACTGACTTTCTGTGAACGATAAAAACTTTATTTCACTTCTCAAAGATCAGTGTTTGTCTCATATATGATATATTTAAATGTTAGATTCAGTGGATGGAGCAGTAAAAATAAGGGTTAAAAGTAGAACTCAAAATAAATAAAAATATAATTTGACAGAAATAAACAAAAAGAAAAATTCACAAAGTTCTGACGACACAAAAGTTAGAGTCTGCTCTGGGAGGACATGGGTTCAAGTCTCACCTCTGATCTTCAGAACCATCTTCTCTGAAGTTTAGAGGAAAGTGTTTGGACCGGTCACTTTTCAGAGACTGAGAGCTGGGAGCAGGTCCAGGTCTGGGTCCAGGTCTGGGTTTAGACCCGGGGCCAGGTCCTCGTGGGTCCATGTTGTAGAGGCTGGAATCAGAAGAGTTCATGTGAAGACTTCTCTCACAGGTTTTGACTTGGATTTGATTCATTTCATGTGTTTATTTATTTGACTGGAACAGTTTTAATGAACATGGCTGAACATCCACACCACAGAGAGTACCAAAGGTTCTTCTTCATCTGTCGTTCCAGGGGGCGGGGCCACAGGGGGTGGGGCCAAAAGGGGCGGGGCCACAAGGGATTCACACAGATACAGCAGATAAAAGCATAGGTTAACAACACACACACACAGACAGACAGACACACACAGACAGAGACAGACACACACACACACACACAGACAGACAGACACACACATACAGACAGACACACACATACAGACACACACACATACAGACACACACAAGGGGGCGTGCCGATAGCACGGTGTCCCGGTCGGACCAGGGCCTTTCTGAGTGGAGTTTGCATGTTCTCCCCGTGTCTGCGTAGGTTTCCTCCGGGTACTCCGGTTTCCCCTACCACTAAAAATATGTACAATAGTTCTGGCATGCGCCTCCTGTACTGGCCCCGCTCCCATCTCTGTGTGGAGTGAGAGACAAGTGCCCAAAAAAAAATAATAATAACAATTGTAAACCGCTTTGTGACCCTTGTCTGTGAAAGGCGGTATATAAATAAACATTACTTACTTACTTACACACAGACAGACAGACACACACACACACACACACAGACAGACACACACACAGACAGACACACACACAGACAAACACACACAGACACACACAGAGTCCTCTATTGCAAAATCCTGTATTGCACGCCAGTATCTGATCTCTGCTTTCTGGTCTCTCTCTCTGGTCTCTCTCTGGTCTCTCTCTGGTCTGTCTCTGGTCTCTCTCTGGTCTCTCTCTGGTCTCTCTCTGGTCTCTCTCTGGTCTCTCTCTGGTCCCTCTGGTCTCTCTCTGGTCTCTCTCTGGTCTCTCTCTGGTCTCTCTCTGGTCTCTCTCTCTGGTCTCTCTCTGGTCTCTCTCTGGTCTCTCTCTCTGGTCTCTCTCTGGTCTCTCTCTGGTCTCTCTCTGGTCTGTCTCTGGTCTCTCTCTCTGGTCTCTCTCTGGTCTCTCTCTGGTCTCTCTCTGGTCTCTCTCTGGTCCCTCTGGTCTCTCTCTGGTCTCTCTCTGGTCTCTCTCTGGTCTCTCTCTGGTCTCTCTCTGGTCTCTCTCTGGTCTCTCTCTGGTCTCTCTCTGGTCTCTCTCTGGTCTCTCTCTGGTCTCTCTCTGGTCTCTCTCTGGTCTCTCTCTGGTCTCTCTCTGGTTTCTCTCTGGTCCCTCTGGTCTTAAAAACACATGTTTAAGTCTCACCTCTGATCTTCACGACCATCTTCTCTGAACTCAGGAGAATCCAACTTGGACCAGAAATGTTTCACAGACTGAAAGCTGGGAGCCGGTTCAGGTTCAGGTTCAGGTCTTGGTCCAGATCCTTGTGGCTCCATGTTGTAGAGGCTGGAATCAGAAGAGTTTGGACTTGGATCTGATTGGACGTCAGACTTGTGTTTGATGGAGAATCTTACATAGAGTCCTCTTTTGCACAGTCCTGTATTCTTGTGTTTCATTAAACTGGCCTGTAGGGGGCGCATGAGCAGAGCTTGGACAGTGTTGCTCCCATTGAAAACCATGTAAAGTCTGTTTTGGAGTCAAAGGCTCTCCTCCTGTGCGCTGTACGGTTGTTGGAACAGTCTTAATCAGAGACACTCAATTCTGAGGTAGTAATAACAAATATATCTAAAAAGAGTCATGATTTCGGCATTTTTGGGAAAAAAACAGCTGCGGCTCGTTCTCACTGTTCTCAGCTGCCCTCTCAGTTGACCCCTCACCTCTGACACGTGTGACTCCCCCCCTCACCTCTGACACATGTGACTCCCCCCCTCACCTCTGACACATGTGACTCACCCCCTCACCTCTGACACATGTGACTCCCCCCCTCACCTCTGACACATGTGACTCCCCCCCTCACCTCTGACACATGTGACTCCCCCCCTCACCTCTGACACATGTGACTCCCCCCTCACCTCTGACACATGTGACTCCCCCCTCACCTCTGACACATGTGACTCCCCCCTCACCTCTGACACATGTGACTCACCCCCTCACCTCTGACACATGTGACTCACCCCCTCACCTCTGACACATGTGACTCCCCCCCTCACCTCTGACACATGTGACTCACCTCTGACACATGTGACTCCCTCCTCACCTCTGACACATGTGACTCCCCCCCTCACCTCTGACACATGTGACTCCCTCCCTCACCTCTGACACATGTGACTCCCCCCTCACCTCTGACACATGTGACTCACCCCCTCACCTCTGACACATGTGACTCACCCCCTCACCTCTGACACATGTGACTCACCCCCTCACCTCTGACACATGTGACTCCCCCCCTCACCTCTGACACATGTGACTCCCCCTCACCTCTGACACATGTGACTCCCCCCTCACCTCTGACACATGTGACTCCCCCCCTCACCTCTGACACATGTGACTCCCCCCTCACCTCTGACACATGTGACTCCCCCCTCACCTCTGACACATGTGTCCCCCCCTCACCTCTGACACATGTGACTCTCCCCCTCACCTCTGACACATGTGACTCCCCCCTCACCTCTGACACATGTGACTCCCCCCCTCACCTCTGACACATGTGACTCACCCCCTCACCTCTGACACATGTGTGACTCCCTCCTCACCTCTGACACATGTGACTCCCCCCTCACCTCTGACACATGTGACTCCCCCCTCACCTCTGACACATGTGACTCCCACCCTCACCTCTGACACATGTGACTCACCCCCTCACCTCTGACACATGTGACTCACCCCCTCACCTCTGACACATGTGACTCCCCCCCTCACCTCTGACACATGTGACTCCCCCCCTCACCTCTGACACATG